GAAAGTGAGAGACCTTAACAGAGACGAGGACACAAAGATGGGGGGCAGCAGAGGTAGCAGAGTCAGGGTCTCCAAGTCACTCCTCTGCAAAGGCTTTCAGCAGGGCCCTGGCTGCTGGTGACAGCAAGCACTGTGAAGAGGTGGGTGTCCAGTCCCATGAAAAAAACAATTGCAATGGAGTAGCTGGTGCTCAAGTGTGACTGTGTCCTGGGCAGAGACAGTCAGTATTGGACTGCTCTGCAGAGGCACCATGCTGCCTGCACTTTCCTGTGTCTCAGCTCCAGAGTCACTCATTTGCCGGCTTTGTGAAAATGGAACTGGACTCTTTAAATACTTTCCCTTTGCCAGCTGGCATGAATGTTAAGCTTTGTCAGTAGAGAGCGCTGAGGAAAGAAACTGCAGGATGAACAGGGTCTCGCCCCGCTTGCTGGTGCTCCCGTGGCGGTCTGCTGCAGTCTGTGCGACTTCCCCAGTGCTCACAGCTTCTCCAGCGCCCGGCCCCTGGACTCATCACTCCTACCCCTCGTGACGTCAAGAATTCTTTATACTAATTGTGCCCTGTGCTCTTCAAAGCACCATGTGGTTTCTCTCTGCTGACTGGCCTGAAATTGATACTGGGAATGGTCCCAGGAGATAGCCTGCAAAGATGGAATCGTTATGTTTTGCTTTTGGCTTCGTTATGTTTTTGGGCCTGAGCACAATGCAGAGCTCCTTGCCAGAAGGAAATAGGATGACAGTAAGCCAGGGCATGCAGTGGTGTCTATTAAACAAACTATCACCCCTGGGTGATTGTGATAAAGTGCCAACTGATGCACGCGCCTTGGGAGCCCGTGTGGCTCCTGCACGTGACTTTTGTGGCAGTAATGACAACTGCAGACTGCAGTGTGGACAATGTCCTGAGTCCCAGGAGCGCTTACATAAGGAACGCAGTACATGCAGGTTCTGAAGCTCTCAGCTCAAGCCCGTCTGAGAAACAGAGAGCTTCCATGACAGCCCTAAAAGAAGCGAACTTCTTGTAGCTGCAGGGCTGATGTTGCTGAAAATCAAAAACAAAATTCAGTTGTGCAGTTTAAATCACAGTCTTGCCAAGTTTCTCGTGTGAAAATTAGGGCATTGATTGATAGAGAATGGGACAATGAAACTCGGAGTGGGAGCATCTGATTAGACTCAGACAAAAATGACAACCTTGAATCCCCAAGTCACTCTGAGCCTCCCTCACCAGAAGGAGCTTGCTCTCCGCTATCTGAGGAGACCAGCCTTCCTCCGCTTAAAAGCCCCTCATAAGCTCACTGGAGGCAGATGCCCATTCTCCACAAGACCCACTGCTGTAGACTCATAAGTAGATCAAATCTCAGCACACTCCGTGGGGAGAGTTCCATATTACGATTCAGGAGGAAATGGCTCACACACTAGGCAATTTCAAGACTTTGCTGATATATGCATATATCAGCAGAAACCTGGGGAACATGGATAGGAGTAGGTTCAAAGGTCAGGGAGAGTGAATTTAACAAATTGGGCTGAATTCATTGGTGCACTTACCACAATTTCCAGATTTGATGTTTTAGCTTGAGCAGCCGGAGGTGGTTTAACAACTTAACTGAAACCTAGACTCAATTGTGAAGTTAGTGAGATTGAGATGCCCACACTTCCCAGGCATGACATGGAAGAAGGAATCCAGAGGCTTAGGGAGATAGGTATGTTGGACTGGGTTTATCATATGGGACCCATAATCCTAGGGTAAGCTGAATAATCACATCTTTGCTCTAATCCCCAGAACATGTGGATATGGTACCTTAGGTGGAAAAATGATTTTGAAGATGAAATCAAGGTTGTTAATCAGCTGACCTCAAAATGGAGACTATCCTGGATTATCCACATGGGCCCATAATCACATGGGCCCTTAAAGGCAGAAGAGTAAGTGAGAGTGAGGTAACAATGAAAGAAGAGGTAGGAGAGACTCAAAGCATGAAAGGGACCCAAACTGCCATTACTAGCTTTGAAGATGGAGGAAGGGAACCATGAGCCAAGGAACGCAGGTGGCCTGCAGAAGCTGGGAATGGCCCTCAGTGGACAGCCAGCAAAGAAATGGGGACCTCAGTCCTACAACCTCAGGGAACTGAATTCTAAACCTAAATGAGCAAGGAAATGGATTCTCCCCTAGAGCCCCAGGAAGGAAGGCAGCCCTACCAACACCTTGATTTTAGCCCGCTGAGACCCATGCTGGACTTCTAACCCATAGAACTGTAAGATACTATATTTGTGTTATACAAGCTGCTAAATTTGTGGTAATCTGTTACAGCAGCCATAAAAACGACAACACCATCCCCCGACTATGTTCCACAAGAAGATCAGAAGACACTCCCTGGGGCCGGCCCGGTGGCGCAGCAGTTAAGTGTGCGCGCTCCGCTTTGGTGGCCTGAGGGTTCTCAGGTTGGGATCCTGGGCTCGCACCGACGCACCGTTTGTCAAACCATGCTGCGGCGGTCTCCCATATAAAGTAGAGGGAGATGGGCACGGATGTTAGCCCAGGGCCAGTCTTCCTTGGCAAAAAGAGGATCGGCATCAGATGTTAGCTGAGGGCTGATCTTCCTCACACAAAAAAAAGAAGAAGAAGAAGACACTCCCTTCAAAGTAATTGAGAAATATATTAGTGAGAGGGGGAGCTGCAGCCTGGAAAATCCCTGTGGTTGCTCTCTCTTGTAAGAAGCTATGACTGCAGGAGATGCTGCCATTGAGATGGGCTCTCTGATTTCCACGGGATGGCTCATGAGTAGCAGAGGCCAAGTGGCAGACTTAACTACCAATTACAAGGTGGCACATCTGCCTTAACAGGGAGCAGAATGTGGAATCAGGCAATCAGAATGCCTGAGCCTGGAGAGGTCTCTGGCAGCGGTTAACTGATTACAGTGTTCCTCGGAAAGAAATACATGAGCAGCCTACCTGAGCAGTGCATGATCTACATACTAAGAAAAGCTCTACGTCTGGTGCCAAAAGCCTGACTTAGTTGTCACAGTGGAGAGTCAGAGCCTCTCACACAGTTTCCAGACCTGAGTCAATTCACAGCCCCAAAACACCTTGGAGGGGAGGCCAGGTCCCCTTGAGAGAGGACCCTGCACTGTTGTCAAAAGTACATACCATAAATCTGCCTCCAAGCCTTCCCAATGGGACCTGCAGCTGTTTATTACAGTGACGGTGAACTGGGGAAAAGGATGTGCTCAGACCCTCAGGACTGAACTGACACTAACTCTTGGGACTCAAAACACTGCTGTGGCCCAGGAGGTAAAGTGGAGGCCTACGGTGGTCCGGTGATTTATGGTATTAGCTCAGGCCCCACTCCCAGTGAGCCCAGTTGGTCCACACACCCAACAGGCATGTGAAAAGATGTTCAACATCACGAATTATTAGGAAAATGCAAATCAAAACCACAGTGAGATAGGGGCTGGCCCTGCGGCACAGTGGTTAAGTTCAGTGCATTCCACTTTGGCGGCCTGAGTTCACGGGTTTGGATCCCAGGCATGGACCTACATCACTCATCAGCCACGCTATGGCAGTGACCCACGTACAAAATAGAGGAAGACTGGCACAGATGTTAGCTCAAGGCGAATCTTCCTCAGCAAAAAAAAAAACAAACAGCAAAACTACAATGAGATACTACCTTACACCTGTCAGAATGGCTATAATTACCAAGACAAAAAAATAACAAATGTTGGAGAGGATGTGGAGAAAAAGGAACCCTCATACACTGCTGGTAGGAATGCAAACTGGTGCAGCCACTATGGAAAACAGTATGGAGATTTCTCAAAAACTTAAAAATAGAAATATCATACAATCCAGCTATCCCACTACTGGGTATTTATCCAAAGAACTTGAAATCAACAATTCAAAGAGATTTATGCACCCCTATGTTCATTGCAGCATTACTCACAATAGCCAAGACGTGGAAGCAATCCAATTGCCCATCAGCTGATGAATGGATAAAGGAGATGTGGTATATATATATATAATGGAATCTACTCAGCCATAAAAAAGACAAAATCATCCCATTTGCAACAACATGGATGGACCTTGAGGGTATGATGTTAAGCGAAATAAGCCAGACAAAGACAAACACCATATGATTTCACTCATATGTGGAAGATAAACACACGGATAAAGGGAACAGATTAGAGGTTACCAGAGGGGAAGGGTGTTGAGTGGTGGGCATAATGGGTAAAGGGGAATATATATATGGTGACGGATAAAAATTAGACTATTGGTGGTGAGGACGATGCAGTCTATACAGAAACTGATAAATAATAATGTACACCAGAAATTACACAGTTATAAACCATTATGACCTCAATAAAATAACTGGAAAAAAAATAAAAACGAGTGTATTTCTGGAAGATTCTATGGAAAAGTCCCATACCCAAGGTGGTGTTTTCCACACCACTAAAGTGGAAGCATTCATGTCCAGAAAGGTGTTAGCCTCAGGGAGAGCTGGTCAGAGCCCCTACACCGGGGCATTAAGGCATGACTTCTTCCTCGTCCATCGCCCCCCACCGGGTGAGCCCTGCCTGGGCGGGAGGAGACTGCGCAGTGCACAGACCTGGCGTACAGCAGAAGCGCAGCAAACGCCAGGACACCACGTGCCCCTTTTCTTAGGTCAAGGCATTTGAGGAGTCTGGATCTTCCCTTTGCCATTCACTCCTCCCTCCCGCAGCCGGGGTTGCAGGAAGCTCTCCCAATCCCCGGTGGTCGTCATAGCAACGCCGGCCTCAGGCCCCTGATTGGTCACCAGTTCTGGCACGTCTCCCAGTTCCCCTAGACTGCAGCCTGAATACGATGCGCGCGCAGCTGTACCACCAGGAGTGCCGGGGACGCCATAGCAACGGCGGCCTCAGGCTTCCGATTGGCCATCAGTTCTGGCGCGCTTTCCCAGCTCCTCCCACTAGGCTCTGCGCAGGGGTACAATGCGCGCGCAGCCCCACAGAGCTGCGACGCGAAGGCGGGCCAAGTTGCTATGGCAATGACAGTCCCGCCCCCAGCCCGATGCGGCCTCGGATTGGTCCGCGCTTCCTCCTCGGGTTCCCTGCCTGGTGCGCCATGGCGAGGAAGGAGGGCGCGAAGGATGGAGCTGAGAACTAAGGAGGAGGGGAGAACTGCGGCTGCGGGGCCGGGGACCAGGGAAAACCGAGACTGCCTGTCCAGGGCGTGCAGTTGAGGGGAGAAGGGGTTTTGCAGAAGGCTCTCTGGTCCGGGTTCGAATCCACGCCCGGCGCTGCCCGCCAGCCTGTTTTCCCGTCTGTCAATCTGGACACTGCCGCTCCCAGGGTCCAGCGAGGCCCCCCGTGGCCCTTGTTCTCTCGGCCTGCGCACAAGAGGATGCCCGATGGCCCAGGACGGGGGTGGTGTGGGCAGGGGCCTCTCTGACCATAGTGCGAGAGGCTGGCCAGATGCCCTAGAACAGAGCACCTGGCGCCTCTCCAGGGGTGAGGGGAGGAGAGCTAGGGAGGACCGAGAAAAGTTTGGGGAGCTGGGGCCCCCAGGAGCGTGGCGGGGGAGGCAGTGCGGCCAGTATGATGGCTCCTCTGCTCAGCCGTCTGGACCTCGTCTGCCATGTGAGGTCCCTCCTTGTACCCGAGGCGCCCCCAGTGATCCCTCGGTACACGACAGGCGCTCAATAAATAACTTGTGGATTAATGAATTCTCCCTGCAAGTAGAGTGTTTATTGTCGCCCATTTTACAGAAGAGAGGACAAAAGTCTGGCCCGCGCGCGCGCGCACACACACACACACACCAGGCCGCCCCTCCCCACACCGTGTTTACAGCCACCAGGGCCTGGGGGGAGGAGGAAGCCTGGGACAGGTGAGGGGGGAAGTCCAGCAGGGATGGAGTGGCCAGAGGGAGGGCTGGGCGGGTGGCCACAGAGGCTAGCAGGCCACGGTGTGGAGGACTCCCCATGATCCTGGCCCAGGGTGGTTTTGGGCAGCCCCTTTGTTCGGGGACAGTGGGCAGACAGGCATTGAGGTAGTAATCAGCAGACAGGGATGCTCAGCAACCCCTGGGCTCTGCCATCAGCCTCCCTTTATAGGAGAGACTGAGGCCTCAGGCTCCCAGCTGGGAGGGTGGAGAAGCCATACTTCCCTGTAGCCCCTAGGAGGAAGCTGGTTAGGACAAGGAAGGAGGGGCCAGCCCTGCCCACTGCCCTCAGCCACCACCTTGCTGCCCCAGGTAGCCCTGCCTTAATGCCAGCTGTTGTTTCCCCTGAGCATCCTTAGAGACACAGCTTTGAGGTCTCTTCCTCCAGGCAGCCTTCCTTGAATACACTCAGGCAGAGAGCATTGTCTCCCTCTTCTGTGTACCGCCAGTTGAGGGCCCTTTTCTGACCTCCCTCACTGGGCCCATCCCTGCCTGGCCTACTCCTGCCCTCTCCCCCAGCCTGGAGTAGAGGAGAGAAGAGATGAGGAGGGGGATATCTGAACCCCTATGGTAAGCTGAATAATGGCCCCCGGAGATATCCAGATCCTAATCCCTGGAATCTGTGAATCTGTTACCTTATGTGGCAAAACGGATTTAGCAGATGTGATTAAACTAAGGATGTTGAGCTTTGGGATCATCCTGGATTATCCAGGTGGGCTCAGTGTAATCAAAGTGTCCTTATAAGTGAAAGAGGGAAGCAGGAGAGTCAAGAGATTTGACCATGCTACACTGCTGCCTTTGAAGACAGGAAGGAGCCACGGAATGCAGCTTTAAACGTTGGAAAAGCTAAGGAAATGAATTCTCTCCTAGAGCCTCCAGAAGGAACTAGCCCAGCAGACGCCTCGACTTTAGCCTGGTGAAACTGATTTCAAAACTTCTGGCCTGCAGAACAGGAAGATAATTAATGTGTGTTGTTCTTAGGAAGTGAGTTGGTGGTAATTTATTGCAGCAACCAGAGAAAACTAATACAGACTGCCAACTCTGCTCCTGCCCAACCAGGTTCCCTCCCTGTGGGGCTAGGCTGTGGCTGCCCAGTAACCCAGCACACTCGCCCCAGTCCCTGTGGGTGACATCAGCACCCGGGTGTGGGACAAGAACTGGTTGGGAAAGACACTCCTTTGGATGCCCTGATGTTCCTCCTCCAGCTTCCCACCTGGAAGCAACAGCTGGCATCAGGAACTCCACTCACGTGCCCAGGAGCTGGGTGAGCCTAGGTTGCCCACAGGCATTCTCGGGCTGCCTCTTGGTCACCTGTAATGCTGTCACTCCCCAGAAAGCTATTTGACACCCACCGTGTGCCAGGCGCTGAGGACACACATGTAAACAAATCAAACCGGAGCTTCTGGCCCCATAGAAGTCCATTTCTTTCTGGAAAATGCTGGGTGCCCACTCACAACACACAGCACCCCAACCCTGGGCACAGTGAGGCAAAGGGGACTCCAGGGCCTGGGGGGAGATAGGGGCCCATGTTCAGTTTGTGCAGAGAGTGGCTGCTTTCTACTCCGGTATGACTAACCCAGGAAGGCTTCTGACAGGAGGACAGGAATCCAAGAGCTGCCCTCCCCAAACGCTGCTCTCTACAGGGAAGGCTGAAGCTTCACCTGGGGGAACAACAGGGATGCCACAAGAGGCTGGTGGAGCGCTGGAGGAGGTAACTGTCGTGAGAAATTAATGAATGAAGATGAGAGTGATGAGGGCTCTAGCAGCTAGGGAGAGGGGCCAGGATCCCTCCAGCAGGCCAGGGAGGTCCAGGAGCAACACTCCCCAAATCACATGACACTGTCTGACCCAGATGGCAACCTTGGCCTCTTTGAGCCTTGGTGACCACAACTGCCCACAGCAAATAGGACCCCAGAAGCCATGACCCAAAGGGGAAGTCGAGGCTCCCATTGCAAGTTGGCACTCAGCACTCAGGTGGGAGCCAGTCTTTGAGGCTCAGGCCCTGTCTGTCCCTCCTCAGCCCTGGCCAAGCCACCTCTGCCCCTCCGAGCCCCAGCCAGGTGCAGGGCAGCACCCCAGGACCAGCATGGACACAGCTGGATCACACCCAGCCCCAGCCTGCAGGCAGCAGAGTGAAAAACAAACTCCACAGCCTGGGGGAATCAGCCCTGCAGTGGACCAGTCAGGGGGTGTGGTCAGGAAAATAGCAGCAGCTCTGCCCTCCAAAGATGGGGCCCCAGCCACCCGCCGTGAGCCCAAAGGATGAGCACATCAGAGCCTTCAGCCCCTGGTGCCAGCTGAGGATGCTCCTCCGGGCTCTCATGATGACCGGGGCGGGGACACTCAGGAGGACCCTGTGAGGATCAGGGCTGGGAGTTGCTCCTAGTAGGGCCCTGCAAAGTCGGTCGGGGGCTCCCCAGCTGGGTTCCCACGGGGGATGAGGATCAAGGGTACTCCTAATTGGGCCCTCCTGGACACCAGGTTTAGGAGCACCTCCCAGCAGGACCTTTACAAAGATGGGGGTCAGTGCACCCTCAGCCAGATGCCCACGGGGACAGGGGTCGAGGTGCTCCCAGAGGGTCCCTGTAGGAATGACGGTAGGGTTGCTCTTTGAGAGGGTCCCTGCCCCGGGGTGATGGTGCCGGGAATGATCCCGCCAAGCCTCCCTCTGGAGAAATGGCTGCTTGCCATGTGCCCTGCTAAGGTCTGCACGGGGATCATGGCGAGTGGTCCCAGCAGGTCACCCCACCAGGACGACACCGAGGTCCCCAAGCCTGGGGACAGGGCCTGCAGCCAGATGCGTTTACTGCGGCGACCACACCCTCCTCACGCCTCGTGCCTGCGGGTCCCAGCTGGATCCAGCCTCTGCCCCCGACATGCGGTCCGAGGGCCTGGCCTGCGCCCCCTCGTACCGTGAGTCCTCGGGGCCCCCCTCGGCCTCCAGCGCGTTCTCCGCAGCCCCTGGCCGGGCGGCGTCCAGGTCAGGGCCCGCGGGGAGCGGCGTCCAGGCGGGG